TGTGGATCTCTTTGATTTTATCCTACTTAGAGTTTGTTGAGCTTCTTGGGTGTGTAAATACATGTCTCTAATTAAATTTTGGAAGTTTTCAGCCATTATTTTTTCAAATATTCTTTCTGCCCCTTTTTCTCTCTCCTCTTCTCTGAGACTCCTAATATACATATGTTGGTACACTTGATGGTGTCCCACAGGTCTCTGGCTCTCTTAATTTTTCTTCATTCTTATTTCTTTCTGCTCCTCAGATGATTTTAATTGCCGTATCTTCAAGTTCACTGATTACTTTTTCTCACTGATCGAGTCTTCTATTAAACCCCTCTAGTGAATACTTCAATTTGATTATTGTACTTTTCAGCTCCAGAATTACTGTTTGGTTCCTTTTTATAATTTCTGTTTCTTTATTGATGTGCTCTATTTGGCAGAATGCTATTCTCCTGCATTCCTTTAGTTCTTTTTCCATTGTTTTGCTTTGCTCTTTCAGCATATTAAAGTTTTTGTCTAGTAAGTCCAATGACTGGGCTTCCTCAATGATGGTTTCTTCTAATTTCTTTTTTTTCCCCTGTAAATGGGCCATACATTCTTATGTCTTTGCATGCCACATAATTTCTTGCTGTGTTTTTGAAAACAGGTCATTTTGAACCTTATAATGTGTTAACACTCAATATCAGATCTCTCCCCTCCTCATGGGGTTTGTTGTTTCTGTTTGTCATTGATTGTAGTTTTTTGTTTGTTTAGTGACTTTTCCAACATATTTTGTAAAGACAGTATATTTGTCATATGTGGTCACTGAAGTCTCTGTCCCATCGGCTTAGTATTTAGCTAATGATTTGACAGATATTTCCTTAAACTCCTGGAGCCAAAAAAAAGATCTCTCAGTCTTTGCAACTGGGCTCTTTGTGTGTAAGGGAGTAAGCCTTCTACACTCAGTTTACAACTCTGCATTTGCCTTTACTTCCTTCTTGTACAAAGCTTGAATGTCAGCCAGAGGAGTGAGCTTAGGGACTTAGTTCCTTTATGAGCATGTGTCTCACCTTAGGCATATACGTGGCCTTTTAAATTTATAGGAATATGTGGGAGCTTGTATTCCCTAAAGTGTCTTACTCAGCTTTTGCTCCCTGGCTTCTCTTTGTGTCTATTGTTTCCCCCAATGGATATCCATTGTCTCAGGTGGAAGCTGTTAGTTCGTTTGCCTTTAAAATATTTTTGACAAATGCTGCCTTCTGCAAACTCACTTCTTTACCCTGAGAGAGTTCCAGGTTAGGCAAAATAAAGGCAAGCTTTTTGTCTTAGTCCTTTAGGGAACCACCAGCCAAGTCAAAACCAACAATCACAATTCTTTGTAAACAAGGTCCACTCTGCTCCCGCTGGTACCAGAAACCCATTCTGGGAATTTGGACTAATGTCTTTAAGACCCCCACTAAGTTTGGAAGTTGTGGATGTGGCAGGGGTAAGTTAAAATGCCACAAAGCTCTCTTACCAGGTTTTAATCACCTTTTTCTTGTTGTAAGTGTTTGCTTGGTTGCTATAAACTTTGTTTTCTGAGTTCTGATAAAGTTGATTTTTGTGGAGAGATGGGCCCTTTGATCCCCTACTCCACCATTTTCACTGATGTCACCCCCACTATGTGTTATTATAATCGATATCTTGTTAATTAGAATGAGCACAAACAGGTCATAAGCAGTCTCAAAGTGGCTGAATTGTATCTAGGCATAGGCCACATTACATAAAGCCACAGAGTAATAGTCAAGATAGAGGAAGCATCAAAAATCAAGTAACCTAATTGTTAATGGAAAACTCTTTCCACTATACTAAATTATCCTTATGGTCAGCTAGAAAAGTTCTGAGTACAGGTCAATGTTGGAGAAGTCATCTGTATTTTAATATCAGATTATTAGTAAATAAATTTATTTAATGATACCTTACCTTTCAGAGAGCTGTCCCTAAGTATCCAAAAGCCATCTGACTACCTATCTTCATTCTAACAACAGATGTTACTGGGCTATGAGGCCACATTCCATATTTGTCATGAAGTCAGTCTGTTTGGTTTCATCTGTAGCAAAATTCTCTTTGCCTCCCACTTTTTCCTCTGGATTGTTGCTTTATAATGTACACTATCTTTTTCCTCAATGACTGATGAGAATTCCCAGGCATTCATTTTGGACTTGGGTACTGTTTTCTGTCCTCTCCTGATGCATTGTTCCAACTAGACTTCTCTATTCTAGAATCTCTATAGGCTCATTTTTTTTCTGTTGGTAGAAATTGCATTTTGTTTACTTCCCCTTAGCCCAAGTAATTACATAGTGTGCAAAATCAGTACCCAGAGACAATCAATTAAAATGTTCTCTCAGTCTAGGGCTGTTGACTTGTCCAAGGTCTGAGTAGAAAAGTGAATGAATAGCAGTGGTTTTAGATATTCTACCATTTGCCCCCATAAGTATGCTCATACTTCCCAGACTATATGTCCTGATATATATCACCTTGGTGAATGAGTCATGCGGACTTTCTCTGTCAGTTAATTTTCCCATGGACCTTTGACGAGAGCTAATGTTCAGTGTGTTCTTCCTTGTTATTGATTTATTTGATTTATTGGGAAATTTGGCTAACAGCATTTGACTTAGCCTTAATGGAAAGAACATAAATTGGATATAGCCTCTGATAATTGTGTTTGTGAGTGTGTGTGTGTGTGTGATTTCATTTTCTTGGTGCCTTTAATGAGGAAATGATTTGAATGTTTTTCAATTTTTCATGAAAATGTAATAGCAAAAAAAAAAAAAAAAAAGGAACGAAGGCTCAAGTAACCATTAATAGGAACTTGGAGTCTGTTTGAGTATACTGTAGACATTCTGCTAATATTTACTATGAAGGCTGTGGAAGAACCTTATAGCAGAATGTTCCATTTTGTTATTAATGTGGCTGGTGACACTTGTTTCTTGTAATTCATTTGAATGCCTTGTAACTCTGGATGGAGCTTCCTGGCCTTTTGTTACTCCTGCTACCTATGGAAGACAAATGGATATCAGCAGTAGTGCTGTTTTCTGTGCTTTCAGCCAAGGGCCTGAAGAGTTTATAGAGCAATCCTCCACACTGTGGCACTTTACGTGAGGCTAGTTCAAGGCAAATTTAACAATTATTATTAATAATAATAATAATAGCTATTAGTTATCAAGACATACCAGGTGACAATTACATTTTATACATTATTTCTAAATCTTGCAACATTGATATTTTTATCTCCACTTTATATGTGAGGAAACAGAGGAACAGAGAGGGGAGATACTTGCCCCAGGTTACACAGCAAGTGGTTCAGACTCAGGTCTCCTTGAATGCAAAGCACTCTCTCTCTCTTTTAAGTGCGCCTCAATGCTTTTAAAGGATTCTAGTTTGTTATTGGTACCATATATGCTTCCTTTTCTGTTCCTTGTCTTCATATAGCTATCATTTGAACATCTGCTGTATGCCAGGCTCTGTGTTTGCTATGTATTATCATTAAGACTCACAGTAGCCTTGCTAGGTAAATATAAGTATCCTCATTTTACAGATGAGATGATTTTCCCTTACGCTGTGCCACTTCTCCTTGTTCTATTAAAGAGTTACCTCTTGCCCCTGGGCTAGATGCCTTTGAGCCATGCTCTGGCCCTTCCTTCCCTATTCTCATTACAACTTCCCAGACTCATGTTCCTGGTGATTCCATCATCTTGTTTCTACATGCTTGATGGGTGCTAATGATTTCCTATGTTACCTTTCTGACTTGTTAGGATTCCCTTAGGGACTCACAGGCTTACTACTTACTATAAAAATGTAGACTTCCCCAAGCTTATTGTTCCTTAGCTGTGATGGAAATTTGCCACATGTGTAACATTTATCTGGGCCCATATCAAATCACCTTCATGGGACTCATGGACAAGGGGAACTGTCTTAATCTGCTCAGGCTGCTATAAAATAATACCATAGACTGGTTGGTTTAAACAAAAGCCATTTATTTCTCACATTTCTGGAGGCTGGGAAGTCCAAGATCAAGGTGCATGCATGGTTAGGTTCTGGTGAGAGCCCTCTTCCTAACTTGCAGATGGCTGCCTTCTTACTGTATCCTTGCATGGCAGAGGGAAGAAGAGGAGGCAAACTCTCTGGTGTTTCTTCATATAAGGGCACTAATCCCATCGTGGGGGCCCCCTCATTACCTCATCTAAACCTAGTTACCTTCCAAAGGCCCCACCTTCTAATACCATCACATTGGTGGTTAGGGCTTTGACATATGGATTTTGGGAGGACACAAACATTCAGTCTATAACAGAGAACCAACAGAAATAAATATGCAGATGCTTATGCTGCTTGCTGTGCTGTGAGTAATAAAGTCCTCTGTCTCTGACCTAGGGATCTTTCATCTCCTGTCAGTATCTATGAAACAGTATTTTATCCTTTTAGGTTACAATTAGGGTAAAATCCCATACCCTTCAAAGTTCTTGACAACTACTCTACCCGAGGTTTTTCAGTCTAGCTTATGGGAACAGGTTTTATTCCTAGCTCTTTGTGAGTGCTGGCTACTGTTCCCTCCAACCCTTTCAGGTGGTTCTTTCCCCACCTTTGGTTGTTTCCTCATGTTCTGATCATTACTCTGCTGAATACTCCAGGAGGACACTCGGTTGACCTCCAGGTTTCTCTCTGCTGCTCTATCCTCTCTGAGCACCTGTCTTGCAAACTCTAGCCTTCTTGTTCTTCTTATACTCTCAGTTCCTTCCTCTTTAGCTCAGGGAATCCATTAGGCTTCTTCTCCGTTCTCTCTCCCTGCACCCTGCATGCCCCTGGAAGCTTTTTCCTGGCAGTAAACTGGTACAATCATTTGTTTCAGGGATCACTGTTCTTTGTTGCTTGGTGTCCTATGTCTTGAAAACTCTTGTTTCTCATTGTGTCTGTTTTTTGGGTTGTTTCAGGCAAGGGGGTAATCCAGTCCCTGTTACTCCATCTTGGCTGGAAGTCGAAATTGAATCTTTGTCTTTTGAAAGTCTATTTAATATTTAGAAACAGCCCAAAGAAAGGGGTAGGTAACTCAAATGAATAAGGTTGGCCATCAGACTGGCTAATTCCTCCGAAAAAGGTGGTAGTAAATTAATCAACCTACTTTTTTTCCTGTGGTTTTAGCATTTCTGTGGTTTAGAATTATTTTTATAAAGAGGAGTTTTAGTGGACTTCCTCTACCCTCCACTCTCCCCTCTTCTAATTTACTAGGCACTGTAACCTAAGGAGGACTAAAAGTTCTGAGAAAAAAAATCAGGGTTATATTTTTATCATCATCTACTCTTTCCCAGCACCACAATTAATTTAATAGACATATCATATGACTTTTCCCTTTTTGATGTCTCTTATAATCTTCTCACTCTCAGTGTCATGTCTCAGGCTGAGGCCCTCAATTCCTTTGTTCTGAATTATTATACACCATTCCTAACTGGTCTTTCTCTTTTTCTATCCTTCACGTTAAGGCCAGAGTAACTTTATGAAAAAAAATATATATCTGACTGTGTCATTTTGCCCCTCAGAATGGTTCCTCCTTGGATATAAAATAGTGTCCAGCCTCCTTTATGTCCACAATCTGATCTCTGCTTATATTTATCACTTTATTTTACATAACACAATCTCTACCATCCATAGAATTAAAATCCACAAATGACAGTATTGTAAGGTGTTCTAAACTCCAACCAAGTGAGACAACTCTGCCTTTCTTGTACAGGTCCAGCTCTGTCCCATCTTGGAGCCCTTGCTTAAGCTATCTTCTTTTCCAGGAATATATCATTTTGCCTGCCTTCAAAGACATTTCTCAAATAATAACTACTCCATAAGGCCTCCCCAGAGGCCTCCAATTGGAGTAAATTCCTTTGTCCCTTATTTTTCCATAGCACATTGGTTGCACCTGCATTAGAGCACTAGAGTCTGCTTTGGTTTACTTGAGTAAATGCTTATTTCCCTCAGTGGACTGTGAGTCCCTGGAGCACAGGTACTTACTGCCTTATTTCTCTTCATGTTCATCATAGCATCTATCCCAGGGGCCTTGTAACTAGTATGCACTAAAAAAATATTCGTTGGATTGAAATTGATTAAATTAGGAAATATTTTAGCACATAAGAATAAATCGATAATGCTTTCATTCACTGGCATCTGCAATCTGGTAGGAACCCAGTGAAATAGCAAGTAAATAATTTGTTTTTGGAGTTTATGGGGACCCTGTTGTCTCTTCAAGGTCAACCTGTGCCCAGAACCTTCATTCTGTCCCCTGAATGCCTACCTTCTCTAGGCAATACCCTCTGATAGTGGCTTCAAATCTGGTTATATCCCTAATTCATCTGAGGGAGTTTTCTTTTTTTAATAATACAGTTTCCTGGGTTCTATCCCAGAAGTACTGATTTGGATTCTCTGGGGGTAGGGCTCAGAAATTGGCATATTTAACAGGTACTTGGCACTTGGTGACACTTAAGCAGAGCCAGATTTGAGATTCATTGCTCTATACTCGTGAGTCTAGAGCATTCCCTGTACTGACCCTCCTGTCAAAATTTATCTACTCTAAGTCTCCTGCCTTGGGAACCCAGCTTTCAGCTAGCTGGCATTTTGAAAATTGGCTTTCTATACTTTCAAACTCCCCTTCACTAAGTTATTAATGTCTTGTTTCTTTCAAGGGCATTTACTTTTTAATAGGGCACTCTTGAAGACAATGTGGAAACCATTGCCTCTAAGAAATGACAATGTTTAGACGTTTTAGTAAAAAAAAAAGAGTTGATCCCTTTAAAGAATAGTAATTTTGAAATTGCTGTGGGAAGCAGGTAAGGATTATAGAAAATGCAGAGTTTTGTTAAATTATTTCTCTGTTAATTGCTCATGCATTAAGATTGGGATAGGGTTGGAAGATATAATTAGAGAGCAGTATCTCACATCATGCTACAGGGAAAACAGGAGAAAACAGGGAAAAATCGAAGGCTCAATGGACTTTGATTCCTTTTCTACCAGGGCAAGCAGTTTGCAAATGGCTGTGAACAGGTCACGGTCAGGATTTTAGAAGAAAATTTAAAAAGTTTCCTAAAAGGGAGAGAAGACAATTTAGAAGTTTTCTAAGAGGGTACAAAGGAAACCAGTAGAGAAGCAGTTTATTTCCAGTTAAAAATCAAAGGATACCACAGAGTTCCTATTTCTTTGAAACTTTAATCTATTACTATATTTCTTGGCTTCATTTTTTTTTAGCATGTGTCATTAATAGATATCACTGTTTTTATATGAAGTTCTGTTTTTGTAGGAAAAGCATGTTTATGTGTGGAGATATGTACTAGATGCCTGGAGTCTCAGCTAACTATGCTTAAGGCCAAAGTATGATTATGAGGCTTGTAGGACTCTAATCCAGTTCTCTCCATACATGCTTGATCACCCACCCTGTCAAAAAATGTTTGCATCCCAATATATATGCATTTATTTACAAAGTATTACTTATAAAACCGATTCAATGTATTATGAGCATTATAAAACATATAGAAATAGAAATAAAAATAGATTATATATATATATATAAATTTTAATATTCTCTTCCCAAACCCCAGTGGATTGTTTCCAGTATTCATGGGGTACCTGCAAACCACTTTGGATACCACTACTCTTTCCTGTTGTTCTCAAACTTAGGTTGAGCATTAGAATCACCTTGAGATATTCAAAAGGCAGTTGGCTTCTTATGCCCTACCCCAGGCTTATTGAATTAGAATATCCATAGAACCTGGGAGCCTATTTTTCAAAAAAGCTGCCCCAGGGGCCGGCCCCGTGGCATAGCAGTTAAGTGCGTGTGCTCCGCTGCTGGCGGCCCGGGTTCAGATCCCGGGCGCACACCGATGCACCGCTTGTCAAGCCATTCTGTGGCGGCATCCCACATAAACTGGAGGAAGATGGGCACAGATGTTAGACCAGGGCCAGTCTTCCTCAGCAAAAAGAGGAGGATTGGCATGGATGTCAGCTCAGGGCTGATCTTCCTCACAAAAAAAAAAAAGCTGCCCCAGGGAATTCTGATCCCCAGTCAAGCTTGGGAAATATTCATCTAACACCAAGGGTCACCTAGTGGCATTTGCTTTCTAGGACCATGGTTCTCAACCTTGGCTACATACTGGAATTGCATCGGGAACTTTAAAAATGCTGATGTCTGAGTCCCACCCCCAGAGACTTATAATTGATCTGAGGTGTGGCCTAGGCTTTGGGATTTTAAAGCTCCTCATGTGAATCTAAAGTGCAGCCAAGGTTGAGAACCACCACTACTGTGGTGGAGAAGATGAAACAGGCTCTGAGAAGCTGTATTAGGATTGTTTTGGTTACAAGTTATACAAACCCAAGCTAGCTTAAGTGAAAGGAATTTATTGGTTCACCTAAGATGTCCAGGGGTTGTCCGATTACAGACATGTCTGGATTTAGGGGCTTAAACAATGCAATCAGTGATATTACTATATTTTTCTTTATATCTCTTGACTCTCCTTTCCTCTATATGGTTACATTATTGGGTAAGCTTTCTCCATATGGTTGGGGAAATATGACCACAATAGCTCTAGGTTTATATGATCCTTATAGTTTGCAGTCCTAGACAAAGATAAAAACTGTTAACTCTCATAGTTTATATATCAACTCTTAGGGGAGACTCTGATTGTCCTACCTTGCTTCAGGCACCTGTCTCTGAACTAATCCTGGTGGCCAGATAGATGGGGTAAGCTGGGTCACATGCGAACTCAAGTGGTCTGGAGGGTGGGGCTTATTATATGATGGTCTCACTTAAACCTCATGGAATGAGTTTCCCATAAGAAGGGGGGTTTGGTTATAAGAATAAAGGGAAAAGAAATATTATGCTGGGCAGATAATATCACAATCCACTACACAAGTGGACTTTACAAATTCAATCCTGTTTTGGTGGTGCTAATGGCACTAGTTGGAATATTCATACAGTCACAAAATGAATGTCTATCTAAGGGTGAACACTCTGTATAAGGCTAGTCTTGACTGAAATCAAGTTATACATTCTTATATAAGCTAAAAAACAATTTCCTTTTCCAATGGAAGTGTTAACTGAACCCTACTTTGTGAATTAGCTAATTGTTCTTTCCTGCTGTGGATATTAACTGCTGAGATCTTGGAAGGAACTGGATTCTTTTTTGGTGAGAGACTGTGTTTGATGAAAATCTTAAGCCCCATGAGCCAGTCATCCAATTGTTTAAAATTCAGTTGAGGAGAAATCCCTTTTTAGGCTGTTGGTTTACAGATTGATAAGGTATTGCTCTTGCTACGGTGTTCAAGGTAGTGAAAATTGTAGAGCTATTAGAATTCTGATATTGTCAGAATTGGTACTATGCGAGAGCCCAGCTCAGGGTCCCTCTCTGAGATGGTGCAGTATATTCACAGTTGAAGCCCTGGCCCTGAAAATCTGATTGTCAATTGGGAAAAGCACTTTGAGAGTAAGCTTCCTCCATAATTGGTTAACACTCTTCTTTCTCCATGGAATCAAGTAATAGAAAAATAAATGCAGAGTAAATAGAATTTTATGCTTGTGCAAGTCACTGGCAAAATCATCCTTGGGTCATGCAGGAAGAGATGTTCTGTTTAGAGGAAAATTGTCTGGAAGGGAAACATTTTATTTCAATCTTCCTTCTCTTATTTATCCTATTTGAAGTACTGGTTTTAAAATGCTGATTCTTTGCAGACAGATGTACTGGGAAGGAGGGGATTTTGCACCTGTCCTAGGGATCAGATGAGCTATTGCAGAATTATCAAATGAGTGATTTATTCATGCAGATTTTGAATACTAGAAAACTCCTTTAAGGTTACTTATACAAAAAGAGAGAAGAGTGTATTAAAACCAAACTGTTATCTAAAGTGTCTACTAATTTTATCTGTTGGGCATAATAGTGAAGTAGACAAAATTTCCCTTAGCAGATAAATTACCTCAACTTTGTTGGATCTCTTTGTGGGGTGTGTGTGTGTGTGTGTGTACGTATGTATGTCTTTCTCTTTCTCTCTCTCACACATACACACACACACACGCCCCTCCCCCCCTTACTGTCTCAGTCTATCACTCACTCTTGCTTCCATGCTGTATTAGTTTTCCATCGCTGCTATAACAAAATACCACAGACAATACAACACAAATGTATTATCTTACAGTTCTAGAGGTCAGAAATCCAGCAGTCCAAAATGGGTCTCACTGGGCTGAAAATCAAGGTGTTGGCAGGGCTGAATTCCTTTCTGGAGGCTCTGGAGCAGTATCTGTTTCCTTTCCTTTTCCAGCTTCTAGAGGCTATATTCTTCAGCTTGTGCCTCCATCCTCCATCTTAAAAGCCGGCAATGACCAGTCAAATCTTTCTCATGTGGCATCACTCTGACCCACTCTCTTGCCTCCCTCTTCCACTGTTAAGGACCCTTTTGATTATATTGGATCCACCCAGCTAATCCAGGATGATCTCTCTATTTTAAGTCAGTTTATTAGCTACTTTAATTCCATCTACAGCCTTAGTTCCCTTTTGCCATACAGTCTAGTATGTTTTCAGATTCTGGGGATTAGGATGTGGACTTCTTTGCTACTGTTGGAGTTGGGGTGCATTATTCTGATACCACACATTTCAAATGCTCCAGGCTTTATTCTATTCATTTGCTGCCCAGAATCCCTGACACTCATGTAGGACTGTTATTTCCTAAAGATCTTGGAGTATAATGGATAGATAGGAACATCAGAATAGGAGGCAGAAGGCCTGGGTTGGAAAACAGCCTCTCCACTTATGAGCTGTGTAACCTTGGGCAAGTCATTTAACTTTGGAGCTTCAGTTTCCTCATCCATGGCATTTCCCCCCTTCTTCTATCAAAGCATACCTATTCTATACCCATTCTAGCAGGCCTTAACTGAGAACTCAAGTTAATCTAGAAGACTAAAACAAGCCTAGGCATTAATAAGTGACAATGGTTTCATGCATCACCACTCCCTTCCCGCCAACTCTCATGCACATATACCCTCTCAAGTAGCATTTATATTTTATAAGATGAATTCACCTGGAGTGAAATCATCTTATTAGGTGCACAGTAGAAGTAAATGGATTAGGCTGCTACCTACCTTTTAAAGCTGGCTTTATCCCTGAACATTTAAGACGAAGCTATCTATAGGATGACCAGAGGGCCTGGTTTACCCAGGATGTTCCTCGTTTATGCCTGTTGCCATTTTTTACTCTCAAGTGTCCCAATTTGGATGATAAATTATGTGGTCACTGTACTTATATGGCACTTGTCAATGTTTTGAGTGTATTTATAAAATTTCCCTTCTACTTTGGACTTTCATGAAAGCAGAGGCATTTTAACTACTTTTGTAGTTTCTCCTGTAAGTAGCCTAGAATCTGCATACCATGGCTTCAGGGTAGCTATTTGACTATATTCCATATTTCATATTTCAGCCATCATTGTTTCTGCAAGTAAAGTTTATAGACTGTTATGAACTGAATTGTGTCCTCCCCAAATTCATATGCTGAAGCCCTAACCCTCAATTTGACTGTATTTGGAGATAAAGCCTTTAAGGAGATAATTAACATTAAATGAAATCGTGAGGGTGAGGCCCTTATCCAACAGGACTGGCGTCATTATGTGAAGAGGGAGAGACACCAGGGATGTACACAGAAAAGGCTGTGTAAGGACACAGAAACAAGACAGCCATCTGTAAGTCAAGGAGAGAGGCCTCAGCAGAAACCAAACCTGCCAACACCTTGATATTGTACTTTCAGCGTTTAGAACTGTGAGAAATAAATTTCTGTTGTTTAAGCCACCCAGTCAGTGGTAATTTGTTATGGCAGCCCTAGCAGACTAATATATTATCTGTATAATAAGCAGTTAGAGAGCTTGTTAAAAATGCAGTTTCCTGGGTGCTATCCCAGATTTAGTTAGAATCTCTTTGGTGGGGCTTAAGGAAGCTCTGTATCTTTCTCAGGTGATTCTTATACACACCAAATTTGAGAACCACTGAAACAGGGCCTTTAGGGTACTAAAAGGAGGGCTTTTTTCACATGTCTATATCATGTCAAATCTTTGTTCCCTCTTTAGGAACTTTCTACCAGGGTGTTAGCAGAAAATAGGGATTGAATATCCCAGTTATCTTTGGGATGTCTGGAGTTGTCAATGAAAATTCCAGAAAGCCTGGAGGCTATGGGGTCTATATGTGTAAGATGAATCAAGGAATAGAGGAATATATCATTTTAGGAGGAAGTTAGTATCAAGACTAACCTAGGATTGGCCCTTTAAAAATGTCATTGGGAAAGCCATTAAAGCTGGATTTGACCATTGCCTACCTTCTTCCTCATTGCCCTTCTTCCTCTTCTGGAGCTAGTGAATAATATTTGGAAATAATGCTTTTCCCCTTTCCTTAGGGGCATTTAAAAAGCCTTGGCTTTCAGGTCTTTGTCTCTTGGCCCACCTACCCGTAATACAGATGCACTTAGTCCCCAGAGATTGAATTCCTTCTCAGTGGAGGCTAGAATAGGGACAGGGCAGCTAAGAGACATGGATTCGATTGATAAATATCCTATTCTATAAAGCTTGAGATGTTCATGCCTCAGAAGTTAGGTGAAACCTCGATGTCAGACCTAGTTGTAATTAGCAGGAACCCCTGCCAATTCTATAGTCTGTAGAAGTCCAAAGCCTTCCCCTGGCTCACTAAAAATTCAAGTTTCCTCCAAATAATCCACTTACACAAAGTATTTCTAAGAAGTATATATTTTACTGAAATTCTGTGGTGGATATGGAGAATAATTTATATTGTAGCAATGCAAATGACTTTAATATGTTCTACAGGCACTATAGGCAGTTCTTAACTATCCATTAGCTGCCACAACCCTGTAGAGTTTCACTAGCCTGCTATCTGAATCCAGTTTCTCTCTACCTTGCCAATTCCTTTCACATTATCTTATATTTTAAGATAACAACAAAATTCCTTCCCCATTTCATTCAGAGCAACTACTTCCCCACCCTAAGACTTAGTGCTATCTGGTTATCCAGGTTTTTTTGTGGGGGGAGTGGTGAGGAGGGTCATTTTCTATCCTGCTTTAAGTGCTTACCAAGGCAGTCTTCCAATCCAAGACAATGCTTTTCTCGAGAGAAATTCTAGTGACCAAATTTGTCTATATCTCATTTCACTAAAATATAATTAATTGCTGTTATTGCAATGAAGCAGATATGGATGTGGCATAGCTAAATGAAAAGAATACTATCTCCGACGGTGAAGAGAATAAAACTAAGTTTAACTGAACTCATCATGTATATCCAGAACAAAATAGGTGTTTTATATGTGTTTTCTTATTTAGTCCTCACAATAACCATGTGAGGTGGGTTATTATTAGTCTCATATTATGAATGAGAAAAATAAGGATCAGAGAGGTTAAGTAACTTCAGCTAGTGAAAGGAAAATCTAGTATTTAAATTCAGGTCTGAGTCTTAACTTTATTTAATTTTCACTATACCACCATATGCCTCTGAATCTGGAGTCCTGGGTCCAAAGTTTATTAATAGTTTGTATGCCCTTGGAAAAGTCACATTCCCTCTCTGAGTTGCAGTTCCTCATCTATAAAACAGGAAGGCTGGATTAAATGGTTGCTAAAAGCCTTTTAAGTGCAGATCATATGATGTTCTGTGACCTCTCCTTACAACACTTGATAAGTAAAATTGGAAGCTGTAGTATGCCTTAATTAAGGGAGGACCTCATTTAAATCCTAGGTTTTTATTGTTCTGCCTCTAAAATTGATAAGTGCAATTTATTTATTTCTATATTGGAGATTGACCAGGGTTTAGATACATAAGGTTCAGAATTTTTTAAAAGTAGGATTAATTTACTTCAGATTCCATTTTATTTTCCAAATTTTAAAATATTTTTCAACTTTACCCTGAAACGGGAAGGCTGGATGGTCCTTGCAATGCTAATTAGTTGTGTGGTAACCTTACTCTTGGCTATATGAAGCAGTATAAGGGATGTTCAGATCAGCAAGTCTCATATCCTTAACCTTAGCTATCAATCCCAAACTGTGAAGGCTGTTTCTCACACTGAGCATCATGGCCTGAAGTGCTGCCATCTCTTCCAGTGACTGTGCTGGTAAGGTGGGGAGGACCAAAGACAAAGACACCCATTGTCATGATCAGTACTCAGACCAGACTGCATCACCACAGTGGCCAATGTAGAGGTGATCGTATGGCTTTAGGAAGCCTGTGTGTGGTGGAAAAATATGTCACTGTATAAGATGCTATTGAATCATGAGTTTGGTGGCTAGGTATTGGCTGTCGTTATCCATGTGAAGAGGAGGAGGCAGGAGGGTGGCATACAAAATCTTATTTGAATTTGGTTGAAAAATATAGGAAGAAAAGGAATTTCTCAGGAGAGATACTAGGGATTGTGCTTATCATATAGAATTCAGTTACTTGGGTTCTGCTGTCCCTGTCTGGCTAATCCTGTTCTTCAAAAAAAATAATGATGATAGATACCACTTATGTTTACAGGGCTTTATATGCATTATTTCATTTCACCATCACAATAACCCTATATAGATAGATAAATCGATATTATTGTGTGATTGTACGTAGGAACCTGAGGCTCAGTGAGGTTAAATGACTTTCCCAAGGTCATACAGCTAGTACGTATCTGAACTAGAATGTGAACTCGGGTAGCCATCTTCTCCTCTTTCCTGTTCCCTTCCGCTTTACCTACTTTGCTTACACCGTCCCCTCTCAGCCTGAATTATCTAGCGATCATCTTGTGGGATCATTTGTGAAATAGTTTCCAAGAGAGTTAATGGGCTAAATGGGCTAAATAAGTAAATAAATAACAGTAGACTGATTAACCGATCAAGTAATTAAGTATTCATTGAATGCTTACTAGTGCAGGCACTAGGGATATGGGGTATTTCAAAAACACCAGAATAACACTTGCCCTCATGAAACATAGAATCTAATTACTGGCGCTATCCACAATGATAGCCACTAGCTACACGTAGCAATTTAAATTTAATTAAAATTAAATACAATTAAAAATTCAGTGTCTCGGTCATACTAGCTACATTTCAAGTGCTCAATAGCCACATGCAGCTGGTGGCCACTGTACTGGACAGCACACGTATAGAACATTTCTGTTATCACAGAAAGTTCTATTGGATAGTACTTAGATAATTAATAACAATTGTGTTGAGTGAAAAAGAGGACAAACAAGGTGTTTAAAAATTATTTCATAGACGATCTAGTCTGAGAGTTGTTCCTAAGGAAAGTGACATTTGAGCTGAACTTTCAGTCAGAAATAACTAGGCCAATATTCCCAGATGATGACCCCTCCACGGATACTCCCTGCTGTGAGGTAAAGTAACTCCTATATAATGACAGCAGTGAGATGGATTTGTTCAATTTGTCCAAGGTGTAAAAGCATCTACCTTTTGCCCTCAATGGACTCAAACTTGGCTAAGGAAGAGAGAACAGAATAGAGGAAGGTACAGAGCTGTCTCACATCTGTGCCTGTTAAAGTCAGGGCAGTAGAACCTGGGGCCATGAAATACTGCAAGTGAGGACCTATATTCATTTTTGGTGCTTGGTAAAATAGTTATATATCTTTATTTGAAATATTTTGGGGAGATATTAAGTTTGATAGAACAATGATATGATTCAGGGTATCCTGAACAAAGACAGAGAAAAAGAAGCTGATCAGGGAGAAGGTGTTCTTGCGTGCATGTGCTGTGTCAGGAGCTACATGCTCCATGAGCCTCTCTAGCTTGCATTGGAGAGGTGAAGGGTGTTTAGATATCCATACATCTACAGGTAAGAAGTTCAGTTCAAGTTCACAAGCTGGCCGAGATGCTACCCATGTAGCAATTTGCTATATCTTCAAATTAATTAGAATGGGAATGTGATCACAGCGCCTCTCGCTCTCTCTCTCCATCATCTGTCTCTATCTTATCGTTTATGTCTGTCATCTATCTCTATCACCTATCATTATCATCTATTATATATCTATATCTATTCTCTAGAAATCCTACACAGAATCTCCAATGCTATACACATCCCAAATCCCTCCTTTTTGTGTGTCCCACTCAGGCCCAGATTCCTTCTCTGTCTAGGGCACCGTGGAGCAAGGTGTGGGAGGGCCAGGCTGTTCTCTCTGATGTCAACATCACGAACCAGGAATATTTTATATTTACTTTGCAGAGAGAGAAAACGAAATCTCCAAAAGATAAATTTGACTTGACTGATAGATTACATGATATCACCATATCTGGTCACGTCAGTAAAAAACCGCCAATAAAGACTACCTATTGGCATCATAGAAATGGGCCAAAAATCATGTTGATTGCATGAACTTCTCAAGTCTCAGCCAGCTATAATAGCAGCATGTGGATGTCACGGTATTGGGAATTTGAATGACTCAGTTCTCCAAATGCTTCCCAGTTGTTAAACCCCAGAAACAACTATGTCAGCCTCTGCACATCTGCCTGCTGTTTTTCTCACTTGCGTATTAAAGTACTTTTGTAATGCATCCCATTGCTACTATTTGGATTTTTTTTTGTGGGGGTGCATTTCCTGGAGATAATAGTCTCTTTTAAAAGTACTGCTTCTTCCTCTCTGATTTAGCATCCTGCTTGCAGCTGCCCCTCAGAGACCTTGACTTACTGGTTATGGCTGGAATCCAGGTCCTGTCTCTCTCAGTTTTCATTGCATGTTCTGAGATTTTGTCAGAGCCATTCTGTATTTGATTTATCTTCTGCCAGCATGGTGGCTCCATATTCATTCTGTGTGCCAAGTGCTTCTGAAGAAGCTTTTTCAAACCAGATAATTTCTCCATTTTCAGAAAGCAAAGAGCAAACCACGTTATTAACTGGGAATGTGCTTATTGGGTGCTGTATGGAGGCTGACATTATGCCCCTGAATCTTAGGAAGCTTATCTTGTTCCTGATGTTTAATTCTCCTTCTTAAAATCTCTCTGCAACTCTGCTACCCTCTACCCCTACACACATCCTGACACATAGATACACATACATACTTCCAACTATTCAAGTTCTATGAGTTCTTTGAGGCTCACTTTAAGTCTCATCCTCTCCATGGACTCTTCCCCAATTAGGGAACCTGCATTGTTTTTTCTCTTCTCCTACAGCCCACAATTTAACATTTGCTTATTATACTGTTTTGTACTATCCTTTCCAATTGGAGAGTAAATTATTTGAGGGCTCAGTCCATGTCGTATAATTCTTCTCCTGGTGATTGCTTTATTCATTCAACTATTCAACAAACATTCATTGAGTACTTACTATATTAGGTCCTATGCTAGGCACTGGAGCCTCAAAGATAATGATTAAGACATAGTCCCTGCCTTTAAGGAGTGCCCAGTCTAGTAGGGGAGATAAAAAATAAACATGTAAGTACAATAATGTATTATAGGTTCTGTGATAGAAATCAAAATAGAGTACAGGGAAAGCACAAAGGAAGGAGTAGTGGCCAGTTCTACTTGAAGAAAGCAGGAAAAGCTTCATAAAAAGGAGATGATGATTGATTGAGCTTAGTTTTAAAAGCTGAATTTATGTTTACTTTGCAGAAAAGAAGAATTATATTCCAAACAGAGCATCAAAAGAAATGTCATAGAGGCTTGGAAAAGTATGAAACATCAGAGAGACTGTAAGTGGCTTGGCATGACTAGAAGGCACTTGGGTGGAGATGGGTAGAATAACTAGTGAGAGAGAGAACTGGAGAAGTATTAAGGATCAGATTATGGAGGGCCTTGTCATGTTAAGGACAGGGAACTTTAGGCTGCAGGCAAAAGTGAGGCATTGTAGAATTTTGTACGGAAGAGTTACATGATCTGATGAGTGATTGAAAAAGATTACTCTGACAGATGGCATGAAGGCTGATTAGGAGGTGAAGATAATGAAGGACTGATGGAGTGGGTACCATGGCAATAGGAATTGAGAGGAAGCACAGATTTTAGAGGTGTTAGGGAGCAAAATTGTTAGGACTTAGTGATCAATTGGGTGAGAAAGGACAGAGACGGGGAAAAAGTCTAGAATGACTCTCAGGTTTCTTGTTCGGACCACTGGGTGGGTGGTAGTGCCACTCACTGAGGCAGGAAACACACAGAAAAGTAAGCCCACTCCTCATGGCTCTCCTCCCCTCCTCCTTGCAATCCCATGTGGATCCTCAGTAGGTACTCAAAAATGCATGATGTTCATTTAATTTTAATCTATTAAAAGAAAGTCCTTTTCTTTGTGTCCTGCCTTAGCTTAATATAAGATACTTCCTGCAGTGGAAGGGATCTTAGTTTCATGGCCTCTTTGTTGCTGCTTACTTTATGACTCTTGTCTCTGCTGCTATGATTTACTTTGCATTTCAGTGTCTCTGGTGCAGGTTTTGATCTCACTACTCAGCTTGCCTTTCTTGTTAGTGCTACATACCTCTGATCCTTGTCCATACATATGATTTAATAATAGGGATCATTCACATTTGTACAGTTATTTGGAGTTTACAAGGAATGTTCAGATATACTTTATCTCCTTTGATCCATATTACTGTACTGTGAAGTATGCAGTGATGTAGGTTTAATTGTCCCTGTTTCATGGATAAAGGAATTTAGGCAGTGGTGATGTGACTTGTCAAAGATCACAGATATAGTAAGTGGCATAACTGGGACTGTGATTGCCTCCCGTTCATTGGATTTTAATTGTGTAATCCCAATCCTTGCCTTGCTCTCTGGTACCCATGTGCTTCTAGACTCCTCATGGCCAGTCTGATTTCTACCCTCTGCCATGTTCTGACCTCCAGTGCTTATTTGTGCCTCAAGTCCACTGTGACCTTCTGCTTTCAATTACCTCCCTTGCTTAGACCTATACATTGCCCTATATATGCATCTCTGTTTTGGCTTTCCCAGTCCAGGCATCTTGCTCTGTCTCTGTAATCCTTGTACCCACAGTCCTAACACTGACACAGCAGGACTTGCAGATGGATTTGTGGCACTAGAACTTTTCTTCCCAAGAACATAGAAGAAGACCCACTTTCAGTCTGTTGGAAGGAAACGTGACATGAGGAAATATTGGCCATTGGACTATATTACTTGCAAAATATTTAATTTGTGTATATGAGCAGTGAAAGACGACATAATGAGCAAGGCAAGTTTTCCAACCCACAGCCTGCCTCCTCGCCAACACAGATCTTGTTTAAG